AGAATATCTCAATAATTATATCAAGATATCCTTTACTGTACAAACACTCTAGAGTAGATAGAAGCATAAATTCAAGTGGTGTACATCTAAGAAACATCCCAGGCACTGACCAAGTTTTTCCTAAAGCTAACTATCGTGTCGCTGATTCTACACATTTCGGTGATGTGACACAGTTATATGTTGACTGATTGTATTCTTTAAGTTAAAAAATAGGCTCCCCCATTATGTATATCTTCCCGGATGACTAGATACCAATTAACACCATATAACTTTACAAAACCATTGCGTGAATAAATGCTACGAATCAAATCAAGTGCATAGCGAAAGTTCGATGGCATTGTATTCGAATAAAAATTAGGGAGGCTGACATTTATTTGCTTCTCGAATAAGTCGATTTCGATAAATTGAGAAGAAATAAGGGTGTGGGCGTTAGTCTATGCTTCATTGTCCACACCCACACCCTCAGAAAAATTTCAATATCTCAAGAACGGAACAATATTTTTTCAAACGGTTTGCGTCAAAATTCTCAAAACTCTTCCCTCCACAACATATCTTAAATTGAGCAAAATCTGATGACCTCGATTGAGCAGCTTCTGTGAGAATCGGTCGTGGCTTATGTGGACTGGCTCATAAGTGACACAGATCGTCATGACAGTACAAATTGATCTAATCCTAAAAACTGACATGTATATATGGCGACATCTTACATTTATATTGATTGCCATCAGAGTATCAAAGACGATCAGAAATTATTTTCTTTTATTATGTCTCTCTCAAAAATTTTATTGTCCAAATCTTAGGTACCAATCAGATGTTGTCTCTAAAAATTCAAAGCCAATAATTCGAATTTTTCATCACACCAATGTTGTCGGACCATGTATTATTTATATGGTCAATGCATTCATCGACTATTAGTTAATGAAGAAAGAAAACAATCGGTACTATAAAAGATAGGAAAAAAGAATCGAATTTCATTTTCAATTTGCATTGCATGAAACATCGTCTTATGATTTACGACATACATCAAAACACACGGCAAGTGAAATAAAAATACTAGATGAAGTTAGAATTGTTACTCAATGAAATTTTACTCGATTTATTTGATTATTTCAATGGTATTGATCTTCTTCATGTATTTTATGGTCTCAATTCTCGATTTAACTTTCTTCTCTACAACCAGTTTCGAACCTATCGTTTGATGTTTAATTTTGCGTCAAAACGTAATTTGGACACGATATGTCAACAACATCTACCATTCATTGCTGATCGAATTATTTCTCTTTCCCTTTCTGACTGTAAAGAAACACCCGAAGAAATTAATCTGTTTCTTTCTTATACATCATCATTCAAGCAATTCATTCAATTACGACCACTTTCAATAACTAGCTCTCATTCACGTAGAACCCTAATGAAAATCTTAAATGAATATCATCTCATCATCTTTGTAATCTCACTCATTTAAACTTCTACTTCTGCAGTTTTCGAGAGATAGCGAAGCGGACTTTCAATTAACCATCAACAGCATTTGGAGTTTACGTAAACTTATTCAATTCAATCTTGATTTGCGTATCGATGGGACAAAGTTTTTTGTTATCAAAAAAAAAATCTCGTTATCTCTCGAAAGTGTATCTATACATATAAACGAACTTAAGTTAAATGGGATAAATCAATTGTTTGAATATACACCTCGTCTTAAGCGTCTTTCTTTATCTCTTGCCTTCGAATCTTATTATAATTATATGCCATTTACTCTTTCAACACTAATTGATTTGAGTCTATGTGTGTATAATGTCTCTGCCATCTCAATAATGAAAATTTTCCAAAGCACTCTCAATTTATTTCGTTTGAATATCGATTTATTGCCTAACTCAATCAATAGACATCAATGGGAACAAATCATTTGTAGTTATTTGCCCAAACCTCAAGTATTTCGACTTCAAATGCAAGAGACACTTCTTTACAACCAAAATATACATGAACGTGTCAATGAATGAATTAAGTTATTTCAAACTTAATTTTGAATTGATGAACACCAATGGTTTGTTCGATGTTTTATACAATACAGAACAATTTATCTCTCCACTTTGTCCAAAACATTTAATTCCGACAAGTATGCGTGCCCTCAATTCTTGAAATCGACTGATCTACAGTATGACTTTCAGGAGTTTTATAATAACATAACTGAGATCTCTATAGAGACCTGTTTTGATCAATGATTCCATCCCACATTCGTTTGCCTAATATTACACATCTTAACATAAAACTTCCGATCAATTATCAGTTTTGGTTTATTGCTCCATGCTTGAATCGACTAAAAACACTGACACTATTATTCCATACTGATGGTTTTCAAGATGAAGTGCAAGCTTTACTTGATCGTGTACCTAGCTTCCATTCTCTAACTATCCATCAAAATGCATCATTACCGTTACAAATGTCTTTATTCAGTTATACAAATGCGCCAGTTCGGCGACTTGTTTTACAAGAGTGTAATCCTTATTTTAATGAAGAAGAATGTATTAGATTGAGTTAGTCATCGTTAGATGTTCAGTGTGAAATTCTTTCTATTCGGATTAACAATCGTGAAAGTATTATTTATTTTGTCGAAAATATGATAAATCTTCGATCGTTAAATGTCCAATGTGAAGATGAAAAGTATCATAGGCGAAAATCAAAGCAAAACTATCGAAAGATCGTCATTAAAAGCAGTAAAATTGGCATCATCGTAGTGATAAATTACTTAAAAATCGGTGATGTTATCGCGATTTAGCGCATGATTATCGTTTCGATATGTCGCGATTAATCGCCAATTTTGTAGCGATTTCAAGGACATGAGTAGACAAGATAAAACGACATTTATTTCTTCGTCTAAATAGTTGCACTTGTTCGACCGAATTAAATATATGAGAGTCAATATTGAATCAGGGATAAAATAATCCATAATGTAAACTATAAATATTTATGCATTTGTTGTAATACAAAGACGTAAACTACCCCTGTTGCCAATAGTCCTAAAGAAGCAAAGTCTTCTTCAGCCATCCTTATACTTTAATTTATATATTTGTGAGCATTGATTTATCAGCAAATGATTTCTTTGTATATTGTATATAAATTGAATATATTTTAATTATGAAAGGAAAAACGTAAAGTACGATAATCGAATTAATGCGGACGTCTTATTTTAAATACATGAGCAAGTTTATCAAGTGCGTCATAAGAAAGATTTTTTCTCAGTCGCATAGCACTCGTTGTTATTGGACTTATTCCTGAACCAGTTGAACTATTATTAATTTTATGATCCAAACGAACGTTTCGACAATTACTTGATGTTACATTTTGTCCAGTTGTAATTATCATTACAAATAAATGTTTTATTTCTGCAATATCAATACGATTTCCTATTGTTTCATCAAGTGTTTCATCGTAAATTTTTGAATATTCTAATTTGATTTCACATAAATCCTTACTTTCATGACCAATAATAATCCTTATTAATGTTATATAATCAATTGGTTTTTTATCTAATGCTTGTCGAAGAATTTTACTATAATAACTACCTGGTGATCGTGTATATTCAACCATATCTTGAAAACATTCGGTTTCAATTTGACCTTGAAATTCATGTTCGATTGCTTCTTGTATTGGTCGTCCATATTTGTCTTCATATATATCAAATATAGTTGATAATTGTGAAAAAGGATCACGTGTAAAAATGTTTATAAATGTATCATAATCAATGCCAGGTGTATTTTCACCAGCTTCATATAGTTTTTTAGCAATTAATTTTGCTGTTGACATTGATTGATCAGGTTCTTCCAACCGTTGTCCTTCAAGTAATTCAATAAGTAATTGTGATAAAATACTTTTTTCACCTTCAATGCTTTCAATATATTTTTCAACACAACTTTGAAATAAATTTTTATATGTTGCTTTGAATATTTTGATGTCATCATTATTTAATGCTAATAAGATTTCCACTAATTTTCTTGATATATCAATATTACTTTTAGCAGTTTGTTTTAATACAAGTAAATCATGAAAATCACGTACATATAATTCAATTGGCTCAATTAACATTGCTAATGTACATGAACGCATCGGAGATTCAGATCGTTCAAGTACCATATTAATAAGGTTATACTTATATTCATATTCAATACCATGAACAAGTACCATACGTTGTTCACAATTATATGATGATAAAAAATGAAGAATAAAATCTAAATCTAATTTATGAGCTGTCTCACACTGTTTCAATACTTTCCATAGATATTTTGTATCATGTTTATAATCAAATTCGTTTGAATGATCGAATGAAGGAGCACTTGATATTCGCTAGTAAAAAGTTAAGTTGAGAAATATTTATTCAATTAAAAAAGTTCTCTGTAATTTATTTTAAAAAATATTTAGCAACACTTACTGTTAAACGTTTCTCGGATTTATTCAAATTACTCTCAAATGTTTTCTTCATATTTTACTGTTGATACTTTAGCAATAATGACTACGTAACGAATGACAACTGTAATAAAAATAAAGATTTCATTTTTCAGTGAGTGCATTATTTATAAATATTTTTTTGACCAAGAAAAATCACAGGAAAGAGAGATAGAGAGTGAAAAGGGAATAAACAAACTTGCAATTAGTTATGCTTGGTCAGCTTTCTATTCGATAAAAACGTAATTAATGTGCATGCACACTATGATAATAACAAAATATATACGTCTATAGATTCTTTTGAATATAAAGTGTTTTTTTTCTTCCGAATCAAATCGACAATTACACGCTCTCAAGGTAAGACCATAGTACTTCAACGAAAGATAGGAGCAAATAATTACGCAAATAAAATAATGTTTACTGAAGCATATAATTAATGTAAATGTCGCAGTTGACATGGGAATTCAAATGAGTTTGGAATACATGTTAATAGCATGAGTCACACGATAATTAATGTTTGTTTACTATTGTCTTACACTCTTGTAATTTTAGTAATTCTAAATGATTGGCCGAGCTTTTATGATTTATTTTGCATTATTTTACATTATTAACATATAGATAATTTTAACTTTTAACCATTCCTTTTTAGTGACTATTAGAATTTCATGAGTTTTTTTTTTTTTTTTTTTTATTTATGCAATAACTGTGATCTTTAAAAGATCCTAACAGTACATAAAATAAGAAAAAAAGAAAAGGAAAACATAATACGAATAAAAAACAATATTATCAATAATCACAACGCATCACAAGACAGTCTCAGACAGAGAAAAACCAAAAGAGCAAACTAAGATAACAATAGAAGAGAAAAAAGAAACAAAAGTAAAAATGACAGACAAAGAAAAAGAACATAAGAAGAAAATATACTTTATAACAGAAAAGATTCAGGAAAATCCTCGAGGAGTTGGATTTCATCCAATTCATAGTTTGAGATCGAAGAAAGAGAAGGAACTGAACTCAACCAACTAACTACCGTCTCAATAACTGATTCGTTAGATACAAATCGTTTGGATTTCCGAAGACATTTTATCGAAAAATCTTTATTGATCCAA